CTCTAACTCGAATGTAGGCTTAACTACATAAGAGCACAGACTGCGAATGCTAGTGATGCACTCAGTTACCCAGGATGAAGTAGGGTTTTAAATCTGGATTTATTGAAAGAAAGCTGAACGGAATCCTTAATTATCAAGACACTAGAGTGGCATACAGACCGAAATCTTTTCAGTCTACCATCGAGTCAACAAAACTTTCACATATTTCAACTTTCAGTTAGCATATGCTGAACAAAATCAGCATTGACATTCAGTATTATCCATGCTAAAGTTTTGTGAACAACCCGAGCAGAACAATCAACTAAAAGCACCAACTAAGTATCACTGTATATAGGATGTTGATTAAATAATGTACCCCTTCATCATATACTTGGATATGAGCTGTACTCTAAGTGTCAAGGCTAATGATATCAATCGGTTACTCAGGTTGAAGTAGGGTTACAACTCGGGATTTAGTGCAAGAACGCCGAACGAACACCTCAACTATTAAGACACTACTCCACATAATTCAGCATACCTAGTTTATTTCCTTCTCATGCTTATTTGTAGTGACCCTTCATCTCGGAAAAACACAATATTATATGTCAACTAGCGAAACAGACGCCCAACCATCAGAATCATTTCATATTACATTGGTAATAAATCTTCCAGAGCAAGAACTATTGTATCCTTTTAATGTTTTAATCATTCATATATATATATATATATATATATATATATATATATTCATTTATTATTATCATCATGTAGAAGGTATTCAAAACAAGTGATGGAATGAGTTCACAAAACAATCTTAACTAATGATCATAACTTCATCAGGAGATGAAGAATTCATAGTTAGCCAGCCATAATTTGTAACTGAAGACCCTAGATGACAGTTCAATATGACGCAGATGTATGGTTTCCGAGTAAGTGATGCTGACGTGAGACGCAGGATACCAGGCAGGGATAATAAGTAGATTGATAAGATTGTGAACTTTCGTCCAATGAGGTGACTGCAACATGTGGCTCACATCCCCAATATCCCCCCCCCCCAACGTAGAATATTGGTCGTCGTATGAGTGAGTTGGAGAGAAACTAGTGGCAGATGAACTAAAGGGAGACATCAACTTCTTAAACCAATAACTGGTGATCTGAGCCACATTATTAGATCCAGACAATCTGACTAGTGTCCAACCGATTGTAGTGATCAATAGCTGAAGTTGTTAGGTGACATGCAACAGAACGGGTCCAGATGAACTACCTCCTTTCTTCCTGTAGCTTTAAGAAATATGTCATTTTAAAGTCATTAATTATTACTTGCAACCATATATACAGATTCCTTTGTTAGGCATCTCGATGCAATACATACAAAAGGGGGTTGAAAATGTTGAATGAAATATAACACATTGTTAGTATTCAGTATTGTCTGACTACAAATAAAGCTCGACTAGCAAGGGATTCAAACTTAAGATCTTGTTTCCGACTTTTTATAAATGTACAGCGGTTCATCAAATATCAGATTGGACCTGTGTGTGCGCACTGCAACCACTATCAATTTATTTAATTCACATAGAATCTAACACGAATGGGCACCAAAACTAGGCATGTGCCACACAAATAATAATGGTCTGTGCTAGGATACTGGCCGGGTAACCGAACCGGTGGTTTCTTGGAGGATCACTCCCAAAGCCATTGAACAGAAGTCCCTATACACAACGCAGTGGAGCAAAGTCAGGGATGGCGTCTCATAGTAGTCAGTGTCGAAAACAGGTTGGTGTGTCATTCGTTCCCAAGGGATCCCTGAGGCCCCTTGGATAGACATTGGTCTGGAATCAGGATTCTCCAACTACCCTAGATGAACTCTCCGTCTTCACCAACCTAATTAGTGTTAGACGTTTGTGTTTTACACTGACATTTGCGCAAATGACAGTTCGGAAGCGGGTAAGTAGTGAGTAGGACATCTTTAGTATGGGCAATAACGCAACGCCGAACGAGAGTGGACTTTCCTCATTCTCGACCGGACCACGGTGTTTGGCATGGCACAACAGAACAACATATTTTAAATAACAGTCTATCAATACGCTTCCTTAATTACGTTTCTCCTCCAAAACCTATGCGAAGTCAGATTTGAAACACCATTTATTCATAGATTAAAATGGGCATATATCTTTTACATTGGTATATGGATTATATTTTATTGGCCAATTCAATGGTTACAACGTTGGGTATTTGAAAAACGTCGATTGATGATCTGTGATAATTTCGTTGAATTTAAACAACCGTCAGAGAATGTTTACTTAAGTCAATTGAAGAATGAATGGTGATGATGAATCGACAACTTTCTATGATACAAGTTCCCAATCTGAATAAAGGTGGACACTGTTTTCTATCCATTTCAAACTCACTGAAATACATTAATTATATGCTATAGAATATACAATATCTGAAGAATATGACCACATTGCTCTAAGTATGTGTACATAAATGTATATTTATCTATAGCTTTTTTATAAAGAAAACTATTTGACGAATTGACTTTGTTTTATATATTCACGGTAACCTGTCACTCAAGTGCAACCTGGAACCTGCCACATATATGCACCAATTCAAGTTGTCATATCACACCGGTACATCAGTACAACAATACATACTCACTTATTACATAATGAAATAACGTATGACTTCAATAGAGTTTTGTTCTCTGGGCTGGACGGTTTGATCGTGGAGCTCTCATCGTTCTTCTAAACGACATCATCCATATGCGTTTCACAGCTCGTTCTGTACACCTCGACGTTGACTGTTTCGAACACTTCACTTCTACCTGAAGTTTGTGCCGATGGTCTCGTTCAAAAGCACGATGAAAGCTCCACGATCAAACCATCCAGCTCAGAGAACAAAACTCCATCCAAATCATCCAGCTGAGCTACAAATCTCCACCATCTCAATGTATGACTTCTTTGAAGATTAGTGGATGTACATTGCTAAGGAGCTCCAATGATTGTCTAACTGATTGGTTCGTGAATTTATTGAAATTCAACAATCTCCACAACCTTATACTCACAATAAACGATCTCATTGACATATTTTACTTTCCTTTACAGTATTACTCTTATTGTTGAAGTATACACAGTCACTAAATACTCTCAATTATAACAAGCTACTAAACATTGTCAATTTACTGAGTTCATAGAAAGGTTCATTCAGCGTAAATTTGTTCATTATTGTATCTGTTCTATTTATTATTGTGATGATGATGATAATAAGAACAAGAATAAGAATAATAAAGTTATCAGTTACTGTATTTTTACATATCCTCTCTCAATCTTTTCAGCTTTTTATCTAGTTCGTTTTAAGTATTAATTATACGGCTATTAATTTTTATTTCTTTCATTGTAGAATTCGCTTTAAGTAGAAATTCTGTATTGTTTAGATGTTGAAGATCGTTATGGAGTACACGTTGGTCGTTTCTTCTTCCTCTTCGTTGTTGTTGTTGCTTTCGTAGTCGTCTTTGTGGTAGAGGTTTTCTCTTCTGTATGATTCAATAAATGTGATAAACCAGCTGACCGTATCCCCTGTAATAATTGTTCACGTGCAAATTTTAACTCGGCTGATAAATGTTCTATTTCAGGTGCATTTAATAAAGCTGGAATCAGTGTAGATCGAAGCCAACGTGGACTGTTGTCCCCCATCCCCAACAACAAAGCAATAAATCAATAAAATAGTTAACTTTTGTATTAAGTGGTCACTTTATAATGTTACGGTTGTTTAGTCTTTAGTTTTGATAAAACTCTACTGATTAAGTTGAAATATGGTCAGCACACTAGTTATTGAACAATGCCGAATATCTAACATGATGTTTGACAGTTGGAGGTATTCGATGAGAAGCACTGGTTATTCAAATACAACGAGTCTTTCAAAACCTCAGGATATTACTGCTTTTTTGAGGGGTTTGGACCGCATCATTTATAGACGTTACAGTTTCACCGTTTGACCCGCGAGTAAACCGCACGACTACAGCTGGTCACTGTGACACTGTAACTAACTTCGAGTCATGTTACCTGAAGTTTATAACCATCAATTAGGGAAATCTTAAGCATTCAAGCTGGAAAGTCTGTACCTCGTAAAACGACTATGACCAAAATTTAACAATTTGATAAATTTATAGGATTCCTTGGATTAGCTACCCCTTATTTTAGTTTAAGCAATCTATTACATTCGAACGAAGGATGAGTGAATGGAAACTGCTACGGATTATTTATGGACTATTATTACATATATTCTTACTGGACAATTATTAAGTAAATAGATTATATGTACATTCATATTCCGTTTGTTATAAGCCTTCACTTGACCCGTTAACTACTGTCATCCGATTTGCCATTCTTAATTTATTCCCAATTTATTAGTTATCATCTCCCGTACTCACATCCAGTTTTGGCTTGATCTTGTGTAATTATTTCTTCATTTCATCAGTATAGGGTTGTGAAGGGTGTTAAGCTTTGATTGAGAACATGAACCGATCAATGTTAGACCACTATTGACAACCTGGAAGCACTGGACAGACATTTCGTCGTAGTATAGGACTTCTCGAGATAACGCATCCACGGTCCCGCACGCAGGATTCGAACCCATGACCTTCGATCTCAGTTTATCGTCTGATGAGGTCTCGTCTTGTTTATTTATTTATTTAACACATAGATATCGGTACAAGGAAGCACCAAATACATATGCGCTACACAGATCTCATTCGACATGTGTGAGGGCTGTGATACTGCCCGGGTGTCCAGATCGAAACAGGTGGTTTTCTTAGGGGGCCACACCCCGAGCCTTCGACCTGAAGGTCTGATCCACAAGGCAGTGGAGCATCGTAACGAGCTGCAGTCCCATTGTAGCCGGTGACCAATGATTGGTTCATACGCCATTTGTTCCTTCAGGACACTGGAGCTCATGTGCATCATTGGTTTGGAATAAGGGTTTTCCAACTCCCTAGTACTGAAGTCGTATGTCGTATTAGTCGTACTCAAGTAATAAACTTAACAATAACATATAAGTATTTCCCATTAAATTTCTACTTCCTAAAAGAGAAACACTGTGCAAAGGTTGAAACAGATAACCAGTTTTCTAAAAGAATCACTGATGAGACAATAACTGGTATATGCTTGGTGAAAAAACAAGTATTATGAAACTAAATGAACTCATATCCTTGTATGAAATGTTTTTTCACTATCATTATAGTAACTGCTTCTATGAATTCGGTGTTCACCTTGTTGTGCTAATGAGGTATGGCAACTTGAACCGATGCATATATATGCCTGGTCCTACGTCGTAGCTGACTGAGTGAACTAGGTAAACAAGTACACATCTGTTTATAATGCAAGAGCTACGGACACCAACTACAACGAGCTTAAACGAAATCGAGAGGTACTGTTAGAAGTGCAGGGGAACAGCTGACACTTCTCGGCTGCTCATACAGTGGAAAAGTACTTCTGCTTGAGTTATCTGACTTAGCTACCTGGGGTTGTGACCGCAGTGCTTGAGAGCAAACGCTTAAGATGGTTTATACAGTGCTTTTTATGAGTAGTTCTTGATGTGTTAGCTCTGACTTTCAAGGTCTTACGATCGAATACAGAGATCCATGGGGTAAGGTGAGGTGTGATGTTTCGAGGGTTGATTTTCTCTAAACCTCTCCTCCAGCTGTAAGAAGACAGCATCACTGTAGACACTGTTCGTCTGAGAAAACTGTTTTATTGCCATCACACTCCAGTATAATTAGCAGTACGACTTTATCTTCGGACTTTAAGCAGCTTTTTCTAGTATTATCACATTCCAATCGACCAGACTGGAATAATACGATACAAAGGAACAAGTATTCTAGCCAATATAGTTCAGTCAAATCTCAACAATAGTTAAACCAGACCAACACTTCAATGTGGCAGCTACAATCGAACTAAACTCAAGTAGATAAGGTGTGGTTAAAGTCTGTAACCTTACGAATGAAAGTCGAGTTTTGATTTGAGTAGAATGAGATTATCTACACATGCTTGGAATCGAGAAAATTATTTACAAAAAGTAAAAAGGTTCTCTGTTTTGATTGATCAATATGAAAAGTCGTACTACCCAATTAATCGAAATACGCAGTCGGCGAAACCATCGAAATATTTTAGTATAAAGGATAAAACATAGAATTCGGTTGCAAGAACTTACCGAAACAGATTTACTTCATTCCATTCGGACGGTAATCGACATTTAGAAATATCACCACTACAATAATCAACAGTACGTTGTGTCGCGATTTCATTTAGCCAATTTAGAACATCACTCCATCCTGGAGTAGTATAAGCATCTGGACAATCAGAGATTTTTTTATCCGTTGTGACCATTTTTGTTGCACAACAGTGTTCCTGGAAGAAATTTCAAAAAATCTTATTTATTGATTTAAGTTACCGCAATGCAGCAATATATAGATACACATCAGAAATTACTGATAATGACTGAGGGCAGTTGGTAGGAAACCCTGAACACAGGCTTCGTGTTAGTCGGCACTAATTATAAAGGGGTAAGTGAGATGTTGAAGGAAATGATCCACCCAGTGGAATTCAAACCCACGCCACTAAGCCTCATCGAAACTTAAGGAATGAAAAATACACACGTGGAGCTTGTAGGCTTGAGCATTATCTGATACATAACATGATCGATCATTTGTAACATTAACGAAGAACATACTCTGTATAAACATCTTTGATCATTAGGGTTTTATCAGAACTAAAAACTAAACAATTTATTCTTGATTAACAAATGATGTGTAATCTGTGCAACGATTGTTTACTACAGGTCTGATCATCCTTAATGGGTTGCTGTCTGACGAAATCTCAGCACAGATTCAAAAAGCTCGTTTGGCTTTTGCCAACATACGTCACCTATGGCGAAGGCAAGATATCCGTCTATCAATTAAAGGACAATTATACTGCGCGGTATAGCAACATGGACCAATGCATATATGTGCATGGTCCCACGTTGTAGCTGACTGACTGACAAGCATTTAATAAGGATTGAAATAAAGACAGACAAATAACCAATCGAAACTGTCATTGAAATCCCGAGGTTTAGTTTAGTAAAACATAATATAGGATAGGTCTAGTACATTTGAAAGGATAAGTGCTAACGTGATTAACATACATAATCATTGTATCATCTAACCAAGAAGTATTCGATCTTACCCTTAATTCAGCTAACCGTCCTTGTGCAATTTCACAATAATCATTCCATCGATTTATACAAGATTCTATGTAGGTATTATGATTATGATTATTACTATCAGTTATCATATTTGTACATTCCAAATCAATCGGGATTATTAACTCATCTTCATTGAATAACACAATTACTTCAGTCGGTTTTATGCGAATTTTATCAGTATGAATTTTGATTCGATTATTATTCATTGATCTTTTTACAGGATTAAACCAATTAGGTCGAGTGTTGACTTGAATTTGTAGAAATTTTGGATCGGTTTCCCAAGGTAATAGTTCAATGAGTAAATCACAAAAATAAACTACAGCACAACGTGATGAAAGTACATTCTGTGTATTATTATTATTATTATGTGTTGATAGTAATGGATTACAAAATGTTTCCATCCACCATTGTTTATAATTTATCCCAGTTAATCGATTATCTTCTGAGCATAATTGACGTGCAATTAATAAAACTCCTATCAATAATTGTTTATCATGTTTAGTTGATTTTAAAACATTCAATTGACTTTTATGAATAAATACATCATCTAATAAATGTAAACAATCTAAATCAACATTATCATTGTTGATATAATTCATATTTGAATTGAATAATGACAATAAAAGTTGATGAATTATAACTGGAAAAGAATAATATTAATGAGAATGAGAAACATTGAAGATCAAGACTATGGTTGGAAAATGGCAAAATGTTATAGTAAATATGGAGGGATACTAAAATTCGAGATCTACAGTAAAACAAAGTAAGTGCATCTGTACCGTTGTGATCGAGTCTGAGCTATGTGACTCAACGTCTCCAACCATTGATTGAGGTGATCGGACTGAAGATAACCAGGTAGTGTCTTAATCACTTCAGTTGATCAAGATTTGCAACCTTGTCAACCAATTTGTCGGCTTTTCCAAGTTCCTTATCTTTGCCTAAACATTGCTCCCTCAGTTTTCTAACCATACACAAGCAATACTTTGAATATGCATATGCTCGTAAACCTATGGCTTCTAATATTTTCACATTTACAACATCATGTTTCACAGCCATACAGTAACACGAAAAGAAATCCTGAGAAGTATGCTAGCTCTTCGACTGGAAGATGGAAATCTTACCTACGTCACAAGTGACTCAAGTTTACAAAGGCTAATAAAGTTTTGGGATCTGCCCTAAGATATCATTGGACACAATTATTGATGACGGAGCACCTTAGCAAATGAGTAAGTATAACTGTCTCCTTCTACGAATTTTTCCGTAAACTTATCTACATCTCCATTGCTTTAGTTCATCATGAACACAGGCTTTGTGTAAGTCGGCGCAAGTGAGATGTTGAAGGAAATGATCCACCCAGTGGAATTCAAATCCACGCCACCAAGCCTTACTATAACTTGTAGAATGAAAAAATATACATGTGGAGCTTGTAGGCTCGAGTATTGTCTGATACGTAACGTGATCAATCATTTGTAACTTTAACGAAAACTATACTCTGTATAAACATTTTTGATCACCTAACTGCTAGGATCACCGGACAAGTGATAGTGAGGTTAGATGTAAGGTATTAGGAAATGATGGTAAATCAGTTGATGAGGTTGTGAATCTTCATCGATTGAGACGGTTGGCCCACGTATTACGTACGCCTGAACACCGATTACCACGACACGTAATACTTTAGTTCGTGATTCTCATCCTTCTAATAAAAATGATATTCACTATATTTGACCCTTCTTTGTGCCATTGATACTACTATTACTACCAGTTTAACTCCTTCACTATTTATATTATTCAGTCCATCCCCATTATTCTAAAGTAGTATGACAAGACTTAGACCAATGTAATTCTATTATGAGATCCTATAAAATTTACTTACTTTTTATCAGAAAGCACTTTCCCCCTATACTGTTGTAAACTAAAATAATTTAGATAATTGTGACTTCATAACTAATTACAAACTTATATATTAGCATTTGTATCATATTTTGTGTGTATACAAGCACTCAGTTGTTTGGACCGAAGCAAAAAGAGAGAGAGAAAGAGAGAAGTATATGAACCTGTTAATGATTGTTGAAAACAGGATATTTCAATAACTCAGACATTGAACATCATAGTTTACTTGCAATTTATTAATTAAGTCACCATTCTGCATATACAAATATATAAATATATACATGGATTACATGAAACAAACTTACATTTAACAGTGGACACACCTCCTTTAATACATGTGATCATAACAGATATCAGTTGAAGAATATGAGACCAATTTACATGATCCAGATCATTATTGGACAAAATGACTAAAAGACGTTCGGAAATGTAATTTAGATCTAATAAAAGAATAAACTATTATGTTTTAAAACAATCGAAAACTATCTCTATTTAATAACATACTTGTATAATGCAATATCGTCTATATGGATGTAATTCCATAAAAGTAAAATACTCCCTTTGGAAGAATCCATGAACTTATTGTTATCATTAAAGTGATATATATATATATAGATGTTTACTTGAATTGTCAGATTTCGAAAGTAAAAACTTGTTGAATAGATTTTCGATGGAATGTTTAATCTCTTCAGTTGAATGAACACCACATAATAATTTGTGAATACAGTTATGAGTTGTTTCCCAATCTGAAAATATGCATAATGAAGAAAATTCTTTTTGAAGATTACAATTGTGTATCAGATAAATAAAATTATTTTATTTATTTTATTTTAACACACAGTTATTGGTACAAGGAGGCACCAAATATATATGCACCACACACATGAATATTGGTACAAGAGAGCGCCAATATATATGCGCCACACAAAACAATGAGAATTCGAAGAGAAGTAGAAAAAAAAACTAAGGAGCGCAAAAGAAAAAGAGAACAATGACGAAGAGATTGGAGTAAGGTAGTGTGGTAGTAACGAGGGAACGAAAAGGTACAATCAGAAGAAATCTTTCAGGTAAAGGAGACACAACCACTTTTTATGAAGAAAGTAAAAGAAGGTTACAGCAGGATCGCCACTGGCTTCTATTCTGAGCCATATCTGATAACGTTTCTAGCCACTGTGTAGCCATCTCTCAGACCCCAACCAGGGAGTCGTGAAGGACCAACACAAGCCAGTCCTTTGCAGCTTTCTTTCATACCACGACACCATGTCATGCACTGACCACCTTTCCGCTTCTTCCAACCAGTCCCAGAGTCGGCAAATAATGCACGACGTGGAATTCTCTGGGACGACATTCGGAGAACATGTCCAAGCCACCGAAGTCGGTGTTTCAAGATGGTGACACCAATTGAATTATCATCTCTGTGCCCGAACACACGATGCCGAACCTCTGGATTACTGACATGGTGTTGCCACTGAATGCCAGCAGTGGAACAACGTAACGAGATGCACTCCCATAGTAGCCGGTGACCAACGATTGGTTCATACGCCATTTGTTCCTTCAGGATCCTGGAGCCCATGTGCATCATTGGTTTGAAATCAGGGTTTTCCAACTCCTCAAGGTGGATTCTCCTTGTCCACCAACCCGATTAAAGCGCCTGACATTCGCTTTTCGTCCTCTCAATTTCGTAAACAACACTCGCTGTGAAAGAATGCAGTTAGTAGGACTTCCCTGGCAGAGGCTATATATGTGTGGCCATGTGAGAGCATTTCGAGAGAGAGAGAGAGAGAGAAGGAGAGCGGACTCTCCCCACTCTCGGCCGTACCAGGGCATTTGGGGGCGATAAATAAAATTAGATGTAGTTTAATAACAAAGCAAGAATTTATGTACTCGTCTTCAAGCCGGTTTCATGAATCAGATATGATGACACTAGCCAGTTGCTTAAACTAGCGCAAAATTTGACTATGCGAAGTCGAATGATTTTGATGGCGTTTTGTTCTCTCAGCTGGATGGTTTGGTCGTGGAGCTTTCATCGTTCTTCTGAACGACATCATCAGCACAAACTCCCTGGAACGCCAACGTACAATTTGTCAAAAGAAATTTCACGAATACTGAGACATCTAGTAGATTCAGCCAAACACTCCATCAAATCCCCAACACAATTCTTGGACCAAATTAAGGACATTCAAATCAACAACGACGAACTCATGATATCCTTCGACGTAACAGCACTGTTCACCTCAATTGAACCACAGTTAGCAAAAGAAACTATATCCCTGCTACTCAACAACGACACAAATCTCACCAAATACACGACGCTTCAAATTCAAAGTCTACTGGAGCTCATCGATTTATGCCTAACAACATATTTTCAATTCAACAACAAAATCTACAAACAAACAAAAGGGACACCAATGGGATCGCCAATATCAGGACTGATCGCAGAAGCAGTGATGCAAAGACTAGAAGCCACGATATTACCAGTGATCAAGCCAAAAATTTGGATTCGCTACGTAGACGACACCTTCGTCATCGTCAAAAAGGATGAACTGGAAAACACATACAAATTGATCAACAACGTCTTCAATGACATCAAGTTCACAATGGAACAGGAGTCAAACAACCAACTAGCATTTTTGGATATATTGATCACTAGAACTGATACAGGATGTTAGCGGGACATAGACTAGACTAAAGCATGCTCAATGCATGATTGCTTTGGTGCACGCTGATTGGCTAATTCTTATCCAATCAGCGCTAGTCGATAGTTGGAGAATATTCTGGATTCTTCTTATGTAAAAACTATAAATATACCGACGTTTTTCCCTATTGTGCTTCCTACTGGCTTCTGACTTGCTATTTGGAATATAATCTTTTCCCTGTTCAACCGTGTTCTGATTTGGGGACTTGTCGAGTGAATCGGTGTCCGAGAATACTAAGCAATAGGAATAGCTGGGTCATTAACCGTAAGAAAATAGAATTATAACAGTGGCGACGGGGAAAAACTAAAGAAAAATGGCGATTTCTTTAGAACAGTTGCGGTTAATATTACAGCACCAGCAGAAGTTGTTAGCCTTGCAACAACAACTATTCAACACACTTTTCACTCGACCAGAAAATAAGAAATCTGTTTATGATGCAGTAACAGACATTTCAGAAGCGTATCTAGTGGAGGGTTCAAATCCCTTTATACCTGAATCAGAACGTAATATTTGTAACGTGTCCGGCTCACAGCAAGAAAATACTGTGCTGAATGCACATGAGGTTGTGACAATACCAGATGATCAGGAGCCAGGTCCTGTAGATGAAGCCCGGAGTCCAGAATCAAATGAAACACTACTGGTACTGTCTAGCTGCGAAAATAAACGTCAGCTCGAACAAAATTGTGGTCCACGTGCTATTAGTCGAGAAAGCTATGGTGACTCGTATTCAGAAAATAACTGGAGCAACACGATGAACCAAATTGTACCAGATGTTACTCAAAATCACCGGAAGACAGAATTTTATATTGAGTCAACTTATCCCATTTCTAATGACAGTGTACCAGATATTGATTCTCAGAATAATGCATATGATTTTGATGAACCTTCTTATAACAATGAGGGAAATATGTCAGCTGAGTCGAATGATGGCCAAAAATCTAATCTAATTCTGTTAGACGTTGACTTTCTTAATGACTCGTTATCTGCTAACGAGATTCATAATGAATTTGAAAATAATGAACTCAGATCAAAGGTTGTTCATCATCATCTAGTCATTTTTAGTGGATTCTCCAGTCAATACGAGAAACATGGTTTAAATAAAGTCCTACTAGTTATAATTTGGAGCCATAAGGACCCAACATTATTTCGAGGAGGAGGAGAATGTTGGAGAATTAAAAGTTATGCATACTTTTTTTTTAAGAAAAATCAAAACGCCGGGAACAGACATGTCAGTCTCTGTGCAAGGAAAAAGTGATAATTCTTCATTGCCTAGACGATAGACTAATCGAAAGCACAAGCTATTCACTCAGTTGCAGTTGGACCCTAGCACCAGATCCTACGAATCTGCTCAGAGGGGAGGTGTTAGCGGGACATAGACTAGACTAAAGCATGCTCAATGCATGATTGCTTTGGTGCACGCTGATTGGCTAATTCTTATCCAATCAGCGCTAGTCGATAGTTGGAGAATATTCTGGATTCTTCTTATGTAAAAACTATAAATATACCGACGTTTTTCCCTATTGTGCTTCCTACTGGCTTCTGACTTGCTATTTGGAATATAATCTTTTCCCTGTTCAACCGTGTTCTGATTTGGGGACTTGTCGAGTGAATCGGTGTCCGAGAATACTAAGCAATAGGAATAGCTGGGTCATTAACCGTAAGAAGAAACAGAGTTATAACACAGGAAAACTGGAAACTCAAGTACATAGGAAACCAACCCATACAGATCAAATTCTCAACTACAACAGCAACAACCCGAGGGCTCACAAAATCAACTGCGTACACACATTGTTCAAGAGGGCGAGGACACACTGCAGCACACTGGCAGCACGAAGAAACGAAGAGAAATACCTGAAGGACATATTTCAAAAGAACAGCTACCCAATCAACTTCATCAAAAAGCACCAACGGCACACAGCATCACAACCCAAGTCAAGCACAAAAATCAGTAAGAGGATCACCCTACCGTACATACAAGGAATATCAGAAACTGCAACGAGACTGCTGAAAACCTTCGGGATAGGTGTAGCACACAAACCAACAAAATCACTACAATCAATCTTATGCAAACCAAAAGATGAAATAACAAAGGAGAACAAATCAAACATTATCTACAAAATAAATTGTACCAACTGCGACAAACACTACATCGGACAAAGCGGACGTCCCCTCCACCTACGCCTACATGAACATCAATTAGCAGTCAAACGCCATGATATCTCTTCACTTATTTCAATACACGTGGATAACTACGGACACTCATTCGATTGGGAAAATGTAGAAATCTTAGACAGAGGAAACTCCAAAAACACCAGAGAATTTCTAGAAGCCTGGCACTCAGGTCAATCAGCAATCAACAAACATATTGAAATCAATCCAATTTATCAACCAATCAGGAAAATCATGCATATATATAAGAACAAAAATCAAAACAATGGGAGACACAACCAAAACAAAGAAGTGAACAATGATAAATTTAAGGTCAACAAGAACCAATCAACATCGAGGTGCACAGAACAAGCTGTGAAACACATAAGGAGAAAATCGAACACTTCACTTCTATCTGAAGTTTGTGCTGATGATGTCGTTCAGAAGAACGATGAAAGCTCCACGACCAAACCATCCAGCTCAGAGAACAAAACGCCATCAAAATCATCCACCTGAGCTACAAATCTTCTCCACCATCTCGAAGTCGAATGAAAAACACTTATGCCGAATCAAGTTTCATTACTTTGATTACGATCTTCTTGAAAAGATCTTGAACGTTGGACAGTTTAGTATTTTGAGACCATGTCTGAAACTAATTCACTTAGAACTCCAATCCACTGATTATGTATACTTCTCAAA